AAGATACTAAAATCAATATAAATTAAGTTTTATTTGAACTTATTTTTTAGAAAATTATCTTAATATTTTATTAATATAATTTATAGAGCTGGTAATCAAATATCTATTTATTTATATTTAGATTGAAGTTATCATAGTTGTAATACTTATTATATTTTATTTATACTTAGTTTATTTATTTTATTATTCTAATAAAGATTTTAAATTAAATTAATAATTTTTAACTATTTAAAATAATTAATAAAAATATTTTTTTTACTTTAATCAATCTTTTAAATGGATATATAAAATTTAATAATTATTATAATTTAAATAAAGTTATAATAATAAAAAGATAAAGCTTTAATTTATTTATTTAATTAAATAGTTATAATAAATATACTAAATTAAGAATTATAATATAAAAATAAATAAATAGTTTAATATATTTATATATATAGTTGAAAATTAAAATAAATTATATTATTAAATTATATATTATTATTTTAAAATAAAATTTTATAACTGTATAAGTTAATTACTATTTATTGATTAGATTAGTAAAATAGTTAAATTCTAATTTAACTAGATATATATTATAGATATTAACTAAAAATATATCTTAGTTAAATAATAATAATAATAATAATAATATATAGTTTATTTTTTATTTCAATTTTCTTATTTGAGTTATTATATATATGAGAAAGCTAATTAAAAATTAAACTATAGTTTTAATTACTTACTTCTTCATCTTGAGCTAGCTATGAAAGAATCATTGCTTATATATTTGAATTTAGATTCAAGTAGATATAGTAGAGCTAAATGATCAGATCTTTAATAGTAGTTTAATCAACATATAATTTAACTTTAATTAAGAGAAGTTAAATGATAAATTTTAAAGTCTGATTAGTAAACTTTTTAAAATCCAGTATTATGACATAGTTATTAGTAATATAAAATAAGATTAATTCATTCTAACCTAAATTATATTTAATTACTCTTATTAATTTACTTTGTTATAGTGTAGTTACTGATAATATGAGATAAGATTAATCTACTTTAATCTCAATCATATTCAATTATTTAAATTAATTTGCTTTAATTCTCAACTATCTATATATATTTAATTACTTATCTTATTTCTACATTCTAATTCTCAGTTTAGTATTTTTGTTACAGTTATCTAGTTAGATGGATAAATTAATCTTTTATTTTATCATCATTATGTCTTTAAATTGAGCTATAATATAATATTAAAGTTTTCTTTCTCAAAAAACTCTGAAGATTGAGTAGTAGATCTATATATCTATATTTATATGAGCTCCTTAGTAGCTACAACTATGTTGAATACTCAAATTTATATTTATTTATTTCTTTTTTACTGTTTTTCTCATTATCATAAAAGCTTCTCTTGCTGCTTTTTATCAGAAATTTAAAAGCACTATTCAAAAGTTTTATAATCAACAGTTTTATAGAGTTCTGAATAACTTTTGATCTTAATTTCATCTGAAGTCTCTACTGCTAAATCTTGAATAAATCTCTAATAGTCTATATTACTAAGTTAAATATATTCTCTAGGACATCAAAGCTAAGACTATATATCAGCCTATAACTATCTAGTTTAGTAATTAAATCTTCTTTAAATTTACAAAAAATTTTTATATATTGTTTTAGCAGTTAGCTTCTAGCTTTTTATTTTATTTATTTTTACTATACACTTCTCAGCAGCATACTTTAATCACTCTATTTTAATTGTTCTATTTACTTCAATTGCTTTACTTACTTTTAATCACTCTACTTATTATAATTATAAAAATTTAAATTATATTCAACTTGATACTCTTAAATCCAATGATCATGAGCTGAAAATTATTAATTCTATTTATATTCTTTTAAGCTCTATTATTATCAAACTGTTAAATGAATTCTAGTTTCTAATCAAAGATTTAATAATAATAACTTAGATATTAATAAAATATAAAAAAATATATAGAAGTATCTGATAAATAATAGTTAAAATGATCAATCTACTAATAAACTTGATGAATTTTATTTTACTCTTATTTTGTAACTAGTATAACTGCTTGAGAGTAAGTACTTTTTTTAAACTGAGGGGTAATATTATAGTACTATTATTGATAATATAAGATAAAATTAATCTGTTTTGATTTTCAATTATCTATATATATTAAACTATTTATCTTATTTTTATATTCAAAATTCTTAGTTTTATATTCTCATTACAGTTATCTAGTAGATAGATAAATTTAGCTTTTATATTATTATCATTATATCTTTAGATTGAGTTATAATATTAATCATATTTAGTTGCTCTTATTAATTTACTTCACTCTAAAGATTGATTTATTCTAATTCTCAATTATATTTAATTATTTAGATTAATCTACTTTAATTTTTAATTACTTATATATATTTAGCTCTTTATATTATTTTTATATTTTAATTCTCAGTTTATATTCTCATTACAGCTATTTAGTTTGATAGATAAATTGAAGTTTTTATGTTTTTATCATCATATCTTTAATTGAGCTATAATATTCAATAGTGATAATTTTAAATAAAACTAATATTAAAATTGAGAGTTATTTAAAGCTATCTGCAAAAACTGATATTTAGTCTATAAAGATTAATACTCAGTTTATAACTATTAATTTTAATTACAAAGTTTCTGAATAGTACTTTTAAATTTTTGATAAAAAGCTGTAAAAAAGCTTTTATAATTAAGATAAAAATAATAAAATTTAATAAAAAATAATAAAATTTAATTAAGATTTTAAGTACTTGTCATAGTTATAATTATTAAAAAGCTTAATTAAAAATAAATATAAATATAAATATAAAGTCTGCTTAATTAATTTCTAAAGCTTATGAGAAAGAGAAGTTTAGTATTATATTATAACTCAACTAGATATATAATGATAATAAGACAAAAGCTCAATTTATCTATATATCTATACAGTTATGATGAGAATACTAAACTGAGAATTAGAATATATAAATAAATAAGTAGTGAAATATATATAAGATGATTGAAAATTAAAATAAATCAATTTTCAGAGTAAAATAAATTAATAAGAGCAGTTAAATATTATTAAGATCAAAATAAATTAATTTTATTTTATATTATTAGTTATTATACTATAATAGTTTATAAAGATTGATATTTAGTCTAAAATTATTAATTTTAATTAAAGAGCTTTTAAATAATATTTTTAAATTTCTAATAAAAAGAAATAAAAAAAGTATTTATGATAAAAATAAAAATAATAATAAAAATTAAAAATTAACTAAACTTTTTTTAAGTATTTAATATAATTATAACTACTAAAAACCTTAATTAAATATAGATAAAGATATAAATATAGATATAAATATGTATATAAAATTTATTTACTTAATTCTCAAAGCTTATAAGAAAAATAATATTTAATATTATATTATGATTTAAATTAAAATTATAATAATATAAAAATAAAAGCTTTAATTTATCTATTTAACTAGATAATTATGATGAGAATACTAAAATTAAAAATTAAAATATAAGAATAAATGAGCAACTGAATATGAGTAAATAATTAAAAATTAAAGTAAATTAAATCTAAGTAACTTTATATTAATAAAAACTGAATATTAAATCTAATAATACTATTTAAAGCTTCAAATTTAATACTTTAAATATTATAATTATATCTAAGTTAAATATAAAAATATTAAAATTTTTAGATTTAATTTAAAATTTAAAAAATTATAATTTCTAAGTAAAAAATTTTACTAAAGAATATATATAACTTTAATAAGATTAACTTGTAATGAAACTTTGCACTCTACTAAAATTATTATTAATAGTAAATACTATAGTCAGATAAAGCTTCTACAGTTTGAAGATCAGAAATGAATAACTGTAATTAAATCAGTCAATGTATTAAAATGAGCTTTATACTTATATATTAATGCAATTAAGATAGAGAAGTAAAAGCAAAATAAATTTAAACATCAAGTTCAACATACAGAAGATCTAACTAGAAATGAAGCTCAGAATCTTAGTATTTCATCTGCTGCATTCAATGAATAAACAGTTATTCAACTTTGTAAGTCTCTATTATTTAAGTCTCACATCATGTTGATGAGCTTCACAACACTGCAGCAATTGTGACACTCTTAGGCATACAAGAATAAGATGTCCTCAACCTAGTGTAATTTAATTTAATTTAATTAAGTGTTGTGGTGTTGAAAATAATTTGATTCAAAATCTAGTCAGTTTGGGATATTTTGTGATCCGCTTACTTGGGTGATCTGCTCATTTGGGAATTACATTAGTTAACGTTAGTTATAGGAAGTGGCTGCATTAGTAAAAATGGTATATTTTTCATAGAGTCATTGGCTTCCGTACTCTCTTAACACCCTGAGATACCTTCTTTTTGGTGCGGTGTTACCAAGTTTGGGAAGTTTTAAGGATGCTACAGTAGTACCCCTCATGTGGGTGAGGCCGCAGATGCCACCAGAACATACCGTATTGAAAGGTATCGTACGGTATATAATGGCAGCCACCTACAGCCGCACCTTGGGCGCTGAGTCAGCCCGCACCCCCTGCACTCGAACTTCTTTGGTGAAGTGTCAGTTTCAGTTTATCTCAACTAGGTCTTTTTTCACTATCTCACTTTTTTCTACTTCACAGGTTATCATCGACATTTTGGTCCTCTTAGTCTCTTCTTCTCCGCCCCTTGAACCTTCGTTTTGTTTCAATTCTTCACTAATCTCTTACTTCTGCGAAGGTTAGGCCAGGTGTTCTCCTTCGCTTCTTCCTTTACGGCACGGCGTTTCCCAGGTCCATCTTAATACTGGCCATTTTCTGCATCTGCTCTGACTTAGAGCTTCATTAATTCCAATCCATCCAATCTACCCCTTTTTATGTCTAATTTCTCTTCTGCTGTCTGGATTTCGCATTGAACACTGTTTCATCTCCAATCTTACCTGACTCCATACGACCCTTATTCATCATGCCGGGGTTCGCAGACTCGTTCTGGACACCCGACTATGTAAGCGGGTTGGGTGTCCTGGTCTCCAAGTTGCAGCAGGGGATTGTGGAAAACCAGCAGATACTCACAATTGCAAGTATGCGGGCTGTTGCGGAGGAACAGTATAGCGCAAAGCTGGGTGAAATAGCTCCCGCAATTGACCGCATGGGCAATGGCTTTGCAAGAGACGATGGTGCGAGCGTCCGAAAGGTCAGATCCCAAATCTTTTTTTTTTTTTTTAATAAATATATAAACCGGTTTGTGAGATTCTCATTCCCAATACTCCATCATGTTCGCATGAATTTAGGCATACGAAGGAATCCGCAGCGAAATGATAGAAGCCACAAAAAACCACCAGAAGATAGCATCCAGTATTCGCGAACTTGTTATTAACCCATTTGGTCGCTGGGCCGACCAGCATGAACTTCGAATTCTCAAAAGCCAAGAAGAGCTCCAGATCAGGATCAAGGAGCATCATAAACAGACAGAGACTGTCAGGAAACTGAGGACCCAATACTTTAACAAATGTCGCCTGGTTGAAGATTTGGAGGAGGAGAACAAACTGGCTTTTCAGAGCCCGGAGAAGGAGGCCGCTGGGAGCCCCAATACACAACCACCCCCGCCAACTATTGTGCTCGAGAATGTGGCTGAGGAACTTGAACCAGTGGAGCTAGGCGATAAGATTTACCCTCCAGAGCAGCTGAAGCAACTATTGATCCAGATGTTGGGAACCATCAAACTCGGGGAGGTCAAGATTGCCATTTTAGGAACTTATCAAAATACATCCACCGGCGCAGACATTGTTGAGTTCATTCAGAAGCACATGGGTGCTTCAAGTATCAGCTACGCCGAAAGAATTGGGCAGGATTTGGTGGACAATGGCTTCTTGCGGCTTGTAGGGAACGTAGGCAATACTTTTGCCAACAGCTCGAGGATGAATTACCAGTGGCGCTCCAAAGCTTTCCAAGTTTCCGGTATTCCAGAGAAAAAGAAGTCGCTGTTACGAGTATCTACGCTTGGGGTAGGTGGTGATGAGGCCGCGGACTCCCCGACCGCTGCTGCAGTTGCTGATTTGTTCTCTCAATGGAACCCGCTTAACAACCCACATCCCAACGAAACTCCTGCAGAAAAGCTCCGACGTGAAGCCCGCGAAGCTGACGAGCGATACAAAGCTGCGGTGAAAAAATTAGATCGCCTACGATGTCAACTTGAGGAAGAAATGGTCGATTATCTGCGTTTCATGGAGCGTTGTGAGTTGGACCGCTTGAAGGCCATCAAGGCTGTTGTGTTGGATTTCTCTGGCGCGATAAGCAATGTTATTCCGTCCCTGCGCAACACTGTCGATAAGATGATGCTATTCCAGGAGACTATTCAGCCTCACGGAGATCTAAGATATTTGCTGGAGAATTATCGCACTGGTGCCTTCGTCCCCCGCGTTCAGCCATACGAAAATTACTATGGCACCGTTGATGGTATGGGCTCATTCCCCCCCCTCCCTTCTCTTGCTTTTCTTTGATGATATTTTTGAAGAGGGAAAGAATATTACTAATCCCAATGCAGAACAAACATTTGGCGTCGATCTCGAAGCCAGGGCTAGAGCTGATAGAAAACGCGTCCCTATCATTGTCACGTCTATTTTGACATACCTGGATGATCGTGAGGCTATTCCCCTACCGTCTCTGTGTTACTAGCTTCATAACTAACATTGAGGATAGACTATCCGGACCTCGAAGGTGATGAAGCAAGACGTGCCATCTGGCTGCACGAAGTTCCGCTCGCTGTTACGCATCATTTACGCAATGCTCTGAATAATGGGAAACCATTTACTCATGAAGTTTTAGAAAAATACGAAATGCCAGTTGTTGCGAGTGTTTTGAAATTATATCTTCTTGAACTTCCAGGTCCGGTGTTCTCCTGTTTTCTATGCATTCTTCCCAGATTCTAAACACTGATGAACAAATAGATTCCCTTGTTTCTTCCCAAGTCTACGAAATTGTGCGGACGGTGTACACTACGGCCAGTGAGGCTCCAGCGGAAGGCCGCATGAAAGTTCTTCAGAGCACACTTGGACAGCTCCGTTTGAACAACATCGCTACTCTCGACGCTATCATTACCCACTTTACCCGGCTTATCGACCTCACATCAGCAGACGAAGCCTACGTTACAGCCCTGGCTCAGAATCTAGCGCCATGCATTCTCCGCCCACGGCTCGAGAATAATCTTACCATGGATGAGCGCCACAGCTACCGCCTTCTCCGCGATCTATTCGACCACAAGGACGAAATCTTCGGCGAGCTCAAACGCCAATCAAGCACCCTTGGAAACTTGGGCCCTGGAGGTCCCAGACCCAGAGCTATCAGCACGGACGAAAGCAACCGACGTGTGAACATGGAAGCACGGCAGCGCGCTATAGTCGATCGTTCCCGCGCTACCAGCCCGGCACCCTCAAACCGGCACCGTCGTGATAGGTCAACCGGTGGCTCAGAATCAATGCGCTTCCCCATCAATGTCAGCAGTCCGTCATCCTCTGCGACGGAGCGTCGAACAACCCGCCATAGCCTCGAGGTACCAGACTCAGCCATTTCTTCGCCCCCGGCAGATAAGTCCAACAAACCCGTCTTACCCTCCACTTCTGCTACAATCCTGGACTCAATCGTCACCAATGGCAGCGGCAATCACACAGCAACCGACAGCGTCAGCTCCTCCACCACGTTATCCGAACCCGTGCCCACCGCCACTAATAGCGTTAGCAATAACACCGGCGGTATGGAAAAGAGCAATTCTCTCTCTCGATCCAGTGGACGGTATAGCCGCATTGCAGGGCTGAAGCGGGATAGCGTTGCGGAGATCGAGAAGAATGTACAATCCGAGTTCCCGAAACATACTGGAGTGACGCTTCAAGATGCGCCGATGGATGACTGACTTGAAGCATTTATGTGGGTGTCGATGTGCAGTTACGAACGATACGACAGGGGCAACCCTTTTTTATTTTTTTTTTCTCTTCCCCCCCCCCCCCCCCCCCCCATATTTGATTTTGGGGTCGTGGTGAGATTTGTCGTACATGAACATTTTCGAGCGAGTGGGAGGGCGGCAGGCGATGCGGGCGTTTGGTTATTAAATCTGCTCAGTGAACTATTTCCTTTCACGTTCTTCTCATATTTTACTATCCGATGACTTTTTATTCTGAGGGATGTAATCCAATTATGTACGCGCTATCACGGTACTTCTATTCGTTTATCCCCTAGGGTCACGAGTTTCTTTTCTTTTATACTACTTTCTTTTTGGTTTAGGTCCTGTTGCATTGTAATATCTTCTCTCGACATGCCATTTTCGACAATCCCACTGTCAACCTTAATGTTATTCCAGTGGTAGTCTTGGTGCTGCTTCCCTTTCTATACCCACCCCATTCCAGAGTTCTGTTCAAACTTTGGTGATTTTCCTTTTCCGTACTTGTATGTATAAATCAATTCTATCCGATTTTGATTAAGGAGTACCACGTCAAACTGTCCTGCAGCACAGTCGCCACTAAATGGGCCTCATTTAAGGTCCCGATAGCTTCCGGTTTTTGAACTGGTTCAGTGGTATTGATGAGAAATCCAGACCAATCGGTCAACGGTATTTACAAGGACAATTCACAGTGGCAATCAGCAATATGAACATAAAAGCGTAGCAGTTAAATCCTATCTCCTCATGCAAATAAATAAATGATTTCCTAATTAAACTTTCCATAACCATGCAACTCAATTTCCTGCTAGTCCGGCCTTTCACAATTGTTTCATAGAATGCATGAAAGGGAAAGGGGTTCGTTATCCAGCAGGATTGTCATTTCCATTTCCCCTTCCAATAATGCTGTCTTTCCTCTCAGGGTGCCCCGAAGTCGCCTTTGGTTGGCGGATGCATACGGAGCTTCCCCTTCATTTACTCTCTACAACATGGCCTGGACGACTTGATTCCACTTGTCCGTTATTGAAGAAATAATTGATGACAAACGGACGCGAAGCAATTCAAGAATCCGCCGTAGCGGTTGTTGAAGTCGATTTCGGTTTCTGTCCGTACACGACCACTCTGAGCGCCGCAAGACGAGGTATTTTAGTCCCCATCTTGACGAACGAAATGATAGAGTGAACCATTCACCAAATGTTTACTCACATAGGCCAATATGCATGAATCTTCGTATTGTGCAAATCCTTCCTCACATCCACAAGAAATGCCAGAACACGTTCCTTACTCCAGTCTAAACCACGGGTCATCAATGCCATACAAAGTCCTTCAATGCTACTCCCAATATTCGCTAGCGTCCACAAGCCCACAGTCTTCTTCTTGGGGTCTTTGGGCCAGCGGTTCGTTGGCCACTTGTAATTGAGGACAGTGACACCGATGTAGCCCGCTTTGATGGGCGTTTCGCGATGGCTCGGTGCGGCATTCAGGGGTCGCCCGGGGTTTATGCTGGCTTGTAATATGGGGTCGCTGGATTCTTTCAATGCTTGGCCTTCACAGAGGGTGCCGTCATCGGAGGCCATGGGAAAGATACAGTCGATTAGTTCAATACAACCACCCGGGTTAAGATATCTTTTGATTTTTTCTTTTTCCGTTCCCGGGACATGGTACGGATTGTGTTAGTCTATGAGCTCCGCAGCTTCTAGGGTTGGTTGGCTGGGCGGGCAATGAAAAGTAAAGCAAACAAGGCGTGAAAGAACAAGATAGACATACTGGTATGACTCTTCGGCAAGATGAGAGAAATTTGCGAAGCTGCCAACCATCATTCGACTGAAGATGTAATCGAAAGGTTGCGACCATGTCCACTCCTTTTCGAGGTCGTCTAGCTCAAACCTGCAATTCGTAGGAACGCTACGTTAGTGAAGGTTAGTTCGGCATTCATGCTGTCGCAGGGAATGTGTTCATCTACATACTAGAGTGGTTGGATAGGACTCAGGTCGACACCGATCACCTTGTAATTGTGACATCAGCGAAGGATTGCACGTTGCCTGAAGGGAAAATGGATGCTGCAAACGGAATTAACTGAACCTCTGCAGCTGGGTGAGCATCGGCTGCAAGGGGGTTCCAATGTTAACATGCAGATTGCAGACTCGAGAAGCAGATATCAAGTCAATGACAATGCAACTTGCCATAGCCGATTGCCCATATACCAGTACCAGTTCCCACGTCCAAGACACGGTGGGCACGGTCCGCTCCTGGAGCAAAGTGTATCTTGCCACCAAAGGTGATGAAGAAGTGGTGATGCTGCATATCTAGAAGCAGGTTCCACCATATCAGCTCAGGTTCAGGAAATAAGAATTCATCTGACGGGACCATACGTAGTCGGTCGCTCTCTTCCTGATGCAAGACGGACTGGTTTAGTGCTTTGCTGGCACTCCCATATGTAGAATTTGTGCAGAGAATCCAAGAGCTTACCTCGTCATTGGGCAAGATATACTCTAATAAGAAATTCCCATTTCAGTTTCATCCGATTATGGTATCAGCCAATGTAAGGGATTAATGGGGCAACTCACTCCCCTCGCTGAGGGAATGATATGTTCGTCCATTTTCAACTACGAAGTCCCGATCGCTTTCGGTCAATGAGATAACGGACAATTGGGTATCATTCTGGGAGCATGTTAATCATTTGTCTGATATCTGTAATTTCAGCCATGGGATATAAGCCATCGAATAGCTCACCACAGAGATTGCGGAGTCTTCATCAGAATCAGGTACCTGAGATAATGGTGTCCGTTAGATGATCGACACAGTAAAGATGCAAGTGTTAAAAGGTAAATATTTAGATAAATTTGGTTAACGAGTCGATCAAGATGGGCAACCAACGAAAGACTAGTCCTTTAACGTACCATCAAAGATGCTAGTTGGCCTGATGGTCTTTCATCATCCGCCATGCTGTCGTTTCAAACTTTCAAACAGCAACGACAGGACTTCTATGTTGTTGAGAGGATATTTAGATCGATATGCCGAGCAAGAGGGTGAGATAACAAACATCTATATAACAAAGAGGGGATGGGGATTTGGTGCTGCTTTTGCGATGGTTGGAGTAGCTATTGAACTAGCGGGATGGTCTCCATATTCCCCGGCGCCGTCTGTCCAAAAGCAAGTTCGTTGCAACGAGGACGCAACCTGATTGGACTTCAATCTTAATTTCTCTGAGGTATCGGTGTTTAGATAGTCCTCTGCAAACGGACATGGGGACGTAAAGCAGCAGCACTCGCGATTGCCGCCACTAAAGAAGAACTTTCAAAGTGGTTTTGAAATGCTATAAGATAGATCATTTTGATCTCTTGAAGCCGTCATCTTTAAATTGATCACTCGTGAGTCGAGTGGCAACGTCGGAAATTCGGAAATCCTGGCAAAATCCCTGTCTCCCTTGCAGCCACGCCCATGCTGCTGCTTCTCGTCTCAGCGCTCGTTATAGGGTACCTGATTGTCCAGCGAGTGGACAAGTGGCATCGGCTGCGGCATATCACAGGACCTCGATGGTGCGCATGGACTGATATTTGGATGCTGCGACGCTCATGGTCTGGATCCCTGTACGAAGATTTGGGCAAACTACACCAGGAGCATGGTACGTAGGAGATAATGCTACGGCCCATATTTGGGACAGACGTCTCCGCGTCAGTCTAACGGATCATTAAGGAGTGGTGATTCATTTGTTGGGGGAAGCTGCTCCCTAGCCGGGTTCAAATGTGTAACTGTCATGCATGTAGCGTGTTCTCTTGACTGATGTGGCCTCTGGGAGAACCGGATAGGCCCTAACTACGTTATCTGCGGTGATCCTAACGAGGTGCGGCGGATGTGGGGGGTCCGGTCAGAGTGGGATCGCTCACCATGGTACAAGGGTTTCCAGCTCGATCCGCCCAGAGACTACACACTGTCCATGCGGGATAATGCCTTGCATGCCACTCTGAGGTCCAAGCTTGCACCAGGCGTAAGAACCCCTGGGCTCCACCTCTCTCCCAAAATAAGACTCGGATGCTTAGCCTGCCTACTCTGGCAATTCAACCTTAGTACTCGGGCAAGGGAATAGAATCCCTGCATGAGTCCATAGACGCACAGATCGCAAAGTTCATCTGGCTCATTGAAAGCAAGTACCTCTCGACAGACACGAACCTACGGCCTGTGGACATTGCGCGAAAAGTGCAGTACCTGACACTGGATGTGATCTCAACCCTCGCATTTGGGCACACATTTGGGTTCCTGGATAAAGATGGAGATCTGTTCAACTACATCAAGACGACAGAGGAGTCCCTGCCAGTAATGCAGATGATAACACTGCTGCCGTGGCTGGTGAACGTGATACAGTCACGTCTGTTTAAGGCATTTATGCCCTCAGATACGGACGTGTGGGGTCTGCATCTCTTTCCCCAAACATCCCATATCGCATGCTGCTCTTGAATAGGTGAAAAAAAAGGGTTCGGCGGCTACCAAACAAAACATCGTTTTTGCAGCATTACCAAAGCAGTGGTGGCAGAGCGCTATGGCCCGCATAAAATCACCAAGCCAGACATGCTAGGCTCGTTCGTAGCTAATGGCCTCAGTCAAAAGGAGGCAGAAGCAGAGTCCCTGGTACAGATGTAAGAATCACCCATACACATACACATACATAGATTATAGATATGGATCCAACATGCATACCTAAACCCACACCACCAGCATCGCAGGCTCCGACACAACCGCCACAACCCTCCGCACCGGCATCCTCCTCCTCACCACCTCCTCAAAAGTCTACACAACCCTCCTCACTGAAATTGACACAGCCATCTCAGAAAACCACATCTCCAACCCAGTCACAGATGCTGAAGCCCATGCCCTCCCATACTTACAAGCATGCATCAAAGAATGCTTCTGGTTCTGGCCACTGATAACTGGGATCATGCTGCACATGTGTCCGTGGGAGGCTGATGTTTGTGGTGTGAGTATTCCTGCGGGGATGAATGTGGGGTGGGGTGCTTGGGCGGTGTTGAGGGATAAGGTGGTATTCGGGGGGGTTGCGGAGGTATTTTGGCCTGGGAGGTAGCTGGAGAGGGAATGTGAGGGGGATAGGGAGAGATTGATTGAGATGGAGAGGGCGGTGGAGCTCCTCTTTGGACAGGGGAAATGGGGATGCCTAGGGAAGCCAATATCGCTGTTGGAGATTAACAAGGTGTTTGTTGAGGTGTGTCATTTTATTCCTCTGCATTTATTATTATTATTATTAAATTTTTTTTTTTGTTGGTTTAATGATGAAGTGGGTATCTACTGATAACTGAGCATATGCAGCTGCTTCGTCGCTTCGACTTCGCCGTTCTCAACCCTGGTGCACTCGATGGAGACGTTCTGATACGGCGTCTCGATGCAGTCGGGGCTGTATGAGGATATCACGTCGTACAAAGACGCACAACGGTATACCGGACATGAACACGCAAAGCTCATAGTAGCAGATTGTCTATTGAGGATGGAATGTTATTGTTCAAGGCTAATTAATTGTGATAATGCGACATGACAGGAATAATGAATAGCCATCCAGAGAAATGAATAGGGCGGCTTTCGACAATATTAAGGATGTAATATATGCATCCTAACATAATCCATGTCTATACTCGTCGTACACCCCGCGCTCGTACCCATAACTGTGTATGTAAATAACTCGAACGATACCCTCGCTATGATAAACCAGAAAGAATAAGTTGATAATATGCGTGCATAAGAACATGCAACAAAACATAACCATACACCAATACATCTATAACCACGCGATACAAAATGATAATAACCACAGGCGCACTTCACCTACAAAACATACAATGCCAATCGTAGCAGAGGAGAGTAGCGCAAACAAAGCACATCACACCCACCAAAGAACAAAGCACAATTACACCTCAGTCCCCAGCAACCTCCTAAGAATCCCCTCCCCAGCCCCGTAAATATGGCCCTCAACCTCTCGCTCGTCAACAAAGCACACAAACCCCCTCTCTTCGCCCCACTTCTTCCTCGCAGCGCGACTGGGCGTCATAGCTGAGGACGAAGACGAGAACGAAGACGAGAACGAAGACGCACCCCCATAACCCCGCCCCTGCGCCTCACCTACAAGTCCCAACGTCTCAAGACTGCCAATGACATCGCGGAACTCCGTCGCGGAAAGAGGCTGGAGGATCTTATCCCGCCGACACAGGGTGGAGTAAGTTGCGAAGAGCTGGTTGACGGTGGGGGCGGCGGAGGCTGTTGAACGGGGAGTTTTAGAGGGGGTGCTCAGAACACCATTTCCGTCTGAATCCTGCTGCTTCCGACCCAGGGCAATCATGGCGCAGAGGGCGGCCTTTTGCTGTAAATTTAATCCCTGAAGGCGCTGCGTGGCGCCATTGCCAAAGGCGCTGGAGGTGACGCGTGCGACGTGGGCGACTGTAGCTCTTGGAGCTGTAGCTGCTGTGTAGACGGGTCCTGTCCAGGGTTGTGTTGACGAGCATGACGACGAAGACGGTGTATCTGGCGGGGAAACAAGGGAGGCAAGGTTAACATTCTCGGTCAGTGGTGCTTTAGAGCTGGCGATACTGTTCGTAGGCGCGCCACAAGATATATTCCGGATGAATTCCTGTTCGATGAGATCGATGGTGTGGCGGACAATGTCAAAAGCCTTGCGTAGATCGCCAGTTTGGGAGGCTACTTTTCTCGCGCAGAGTTGGATGGCGGCCGGGTGTAGGAAGGGGATGAAGTCAGCTGGACCGCAGTTGGGGGCTGTTGTTGGCAACAATGAGCGGAGACGGGTGGTTATGATGCCAGAGATCTGCGGGGCGGTATAGGGCAAGAAGGGCAGGAGATGTGGTTTGAGATTCTTTGCCTTGAGACGTGGTAAGAAGCGATCGGTTAGGTCGAGGGCGTTGGCGATGCCGATGAGCACGAGTTGGGAGCCGGGTTGCAGGGACCATTCGAAGAGGGTGTAGAGAGTTTCAACATCTGATGATAGAAGATGGTCTATTTCATCGAGGGCAACCACATAGAATGCAGTAGAAGCACTTCGTTTCTTCTGCAAGAACATGCCACCCAACAACTCGGTCCGACTCTTCTTAAACAGCTGCGCATCATCGCACAGTTCATCAACGAGTTTCGTATAGATATCCCTGGAACTCGTCATGCTGGCACAATTGATGTGGGCCACCCTGACAGATTTCTCAAGGTGTATGTCGCGCCACACTTCGTTGACCATGGCGCTCTTGCCCGTCCCTGGGGGTCCGCTGACATAGATACATCCGCCACTCCGGGACTGTACAGCATTGTCGATGAAGGCGGTCAGTTCCTCCCGTTCGCTGTCACGACCCACCAGTCTACCTGGAGTTGAACTTCTGGCGAATAGCTGTCTGGCGGGGGTGTAGACACTCTGTGCAGCTGTGACATGGCAGATAGTACGGGGAGCTCGAGGAGTCAAGGGTTTTCCCGTAACTTTCACACGATGTTTGGGAGTAGTGGGAATGGTCGGTTTGGCTTTAGATAGGGCATCTCTAGAGCGGTATGCCTTTTGGAGGGTGGTGAATTCCTTTGGGCGCGTATTTTCATCTAGTAAAAACTTGGGTTAGAAGAAAAATCTGCGACCGTAGGAAGAATATATGGGTGACCAGGGACTTTACCCGTTACAGTCTCAGTAGATTTTATCACTTTTACTGGTGATGTAGCGATAGCCTTGACTGTCTTGTCAGGAACGGTACGTTTCGAGCGGCCATTGTTACGGCTGGACGAAGATCTACAGATGGTGTTTTGCAGTATAGAGGGCTCATCCTCCTCCTCATGAATCCAAGGTAGAGGAGGAGATTTTGTCCGTCGTTTGCTGGAGCGCAGCGAGATAGCACTTGCAGCACCTAATTGATTAAAATAAATACAAGGTGAGTTTTGAACCCTCAATTGCCCACGGAATTCGAAGAAATTGCATGAACAAGCACCTACCAGTAGCACTTGAGTCGGGAGTTGCCCTCCGTCTCTTGCCCAGGACTGAGGAAGCCATGACCCCGAGATGAGTAGCTGCTTTAATTTTGTGAAGGGTTTGACTTGCGCAGGGCTTGGGTTAGTTGGGTGTTGAAGAGTGAAAAGCAGCGAGGGACGACTTGGGCAGGCTTGGGATAGATTGATAAAATGGGGTTTTGATGGAGTAGAGAAAAGGTACCTATTGGCAGAAAGAAACTAGCGAGGTACAAAGGGGGTACATATAAGCATCGCCTTTTGTGAGTCGCGTTAAGGCAAAGTCGCGTGGCCCAATGGAGACACGCGACTTGGGGAGGGTGACGCGACATTATGTCGCGCTCTACTACAGAGTACCCCCACACTGAGTATGTTTTTAACTTGGAAAACAACTCTACGAAGATATAGACTGGATGATATAAGATGCGTACTCCACTTTCATTTCCACAGCTGAGGGGATATTTGATTCCCAGCCCTCTCTTTTCCGCAGACTGCTAACAAAGTATAGTTAACTCAAGTCATTGAGTTGGTAACCTGAGGGGAGTTCGCGCTGACCGTCTGTTCTAATCAGCCTATTAACTAGTTAGATACGGGAGACTATTTGCACCACTTGTGCTGCTCATTGGAAAAAATCTGATGAGTCAGCTATGCTCACAAAAGCTGCGTTGCTGGTCTCTGATTACTCCCATAACCACTCGCCACACTGGGCTAAACCGGATTCTCACCGGAACCGGAAGATATATGCCTCCGCCAGCTGCGGGTCTTTCAACCAAAACAGCCAGCCACGGCCGGGAAGATAGCCCCTTTGACGTTGGGCAGAGGCATACACCACCTCATAACCTCATCCAACAACACAACTCACTCACCCTCTGTTCGCCATCATAGATCACAATTCCGGAATAGACTCTAGAATTCCTACAAAGACAGCCATGCCCGCTCCTGTCTGCTCTTAATTCGCCCTTCCCTGTGCTTCCTTCATAGCTTGCTTAGCCGCCATTGTGTTTCATGCCCCTCACGAGATAAAGATTCCGCCCCACTCCCGAGCCCTTGGCTTTGTTCATTGTTCCTCCTCCTCAATCATCCAACTCCCCAGAATAAAACCTATTACATTCTCTCCCTCCCTATATCTCTCTTATCCTCTCTTATCCCACTAGAGGACATCGATTTTCCACGATCCCCTTAATATCCGGACAATCCACTCCGTCTATATTCGGTTTAGTGCAAATAGAAAGAAGGAAAGAAAGAAAAAGAAAATCCCTCCGCCATGGCAGACGCTGCAGTGGCAGGCTTCACAGAAATCACGGGGTCAACCCCCGAGGTGGCCGCCCACTATCTGCAGCTGACCGATGGAAACCTCGAAATCGCTATGCAGCTCTACTTCGAAAATGGAAGCGCTGATATACACCAGGAACCCTCTGTTCAACCAGCTCCACCATACCCCGCACCCGCACCTGTACTATCATCTACCCGACCCTCTCACCCCTCCGGCTACCAAGATGTACACGGTGTAGTTCATCTCGACTCTGACGGCGATGATGATGATGGTAACTACAACAACCGTAATAATGATAATAATATGAATGAGGTAGAAGAGGTGGAAGCCGTCAATATCCCCGTACGAACCTCACAGCAGCAATCAGCCTCCACCAGTCGACCTCCACCTTCAAACACAACCTTTGACGATGATGAAGCTCTGGCCCGCCGTTTACAAGAGGAATTTTACGCTGGTGCGGAGGGTTTGAACGCAGTGGATGCTGACGGCGTAAGGGCTCCCATGGCTCGGACTACAGAAACTCTCGTTGGCCCCAGCGCGGATTCGGGGTTTGATGATGCCAGCTTAGAAGAAGCAGTCCTGCGCCAGATGCGGGCTAGACAGCATGCCAGAGCAGGCAAGTAGACCGCCATGTCTTGTCTGTTTATCTCTTAACAATCCTGGAGTTTGTTGTTATGTTCATGGCGCTGATATCAATCTTTCCATCCACGTAGGTCGGCCGGGTATTTTCAACCAACGGCCTGTTTCATTCTCGATCTGGAACCAGGACGACCCAGCCTCCCATCGTGCTGCCTTGTCGCACGCTACAGGGGGAGCCTCGAATACGTCAAGTAAATCGGGAATGCTTGCAGAAATGTACCGCCCCCCCTTCGAGATCATATCGAAACTCCCTTGGGATCTAGCTCGCGATGAAGGCCGGGAGAAAATGAGATGGCTCCTGGTCAACATCCAGGATCCAGCTGTCTTTGACTGTCAAGTGTTGAACAGAGATCTTTGGAAGAACCCAGGCGTCATGGAGACAGTGAAGGAACATTTCATCTTTCTACAATACTTAAAGGACGACCCGCGTGGCTCACAGTACATCCGGTATTATTTCCCGGGCGTTGACGTTCAAGAAGAATACCCGCACATTGCAGTCGTCGATCCACGAACGGGCGAGCAAGTCAAGACCTGGTCTGGGCCCCCGGTCATAAAACCGGCAGATTTCCTAATGCAGCTTCACGAATTCCTCGATCGGTACAGTTTAGACAACAGCGTGCGAAACCCCGTCGCAAGACGGAAACTGGACGTGAGGAAGGAGCGCAAGATCGAATCGATGACTGAAGACGAGATGCTAGAGATGGCTTTAAAGAATAGCCTGGAAGCCCAAAATCCATCTCGACGCGAGGATCCCGATGATCTGACACGGAGCATAGGCGATGTTAGTGTCAAGGGCAAGGGGAAGGGGAAGGGGAAGGAGAAGGGGCAAACATCCTCATTGGACCCGGACGATATCGACATGGACTCAAACAGCCCAGGCAAAAAAGCAGACGAAGACGAAAACGACGCCAACTCATCCCGCCCCAGCTCCACCTTCGCCTCCATCCCCTCCGACCGCTCTCACACCGAGCCAAACCCGGACCCAGCAACAGTGACACGAATCCAATTCCGTCACCCAACCGGCCGCGTGATTCGGCGCTTCAACCTCTCCGACCCCGTGCGGCGGATATACGAATGGCTTAAAGCGTCGCCTTTGGAGGGTAAGGAGGGCGTTGAGTTTGAGCTAGTGGCTATGGGGCAGAATTTGATTGGGTTGTTGGATGTTAGTGTTGAGGATGCTGGGTTGAAGAATGGGACTGTTATGGTTGGGTTTGTGGAGGACTAGTGGAGGACTAGTGGAGGGTGTGTTCTATGGGGTAAGTGGGGATGTGGATGCAAGTTTGTATGACAGAGGGGAGGGAGGGAAGCGTAAGGGTTAATGGCGTTGACATTGTGCACTCGCTTTGGTAGGTAGCGTTGCGTAGGTCATAGACAAATAAGCCTTCCTCACAGTAGCATCTAAAAATATATTGCTGAAGGGGGGAATCTGGCATGGGCCGTTCGGACTATTGAGTTGTATCTTGGTTTCTCCCCCCTTGAGTTTTGTCTTTCTGACATCTTTCTCGTTTATTTTTCAATTTTTTTTTACCCAGGTACCTCCCAAGTAGCCATGTATTATTCCACTTTGTTTCCTTTGTTTCCTCTGGTATATCGAGTCCCGTGGAGAATTCATACCAGTAAATTGAAGCATCTTTATGGTACAGATACATCATCCAGTACAATCAATAATGAAACACAATCCCGCTCGGGGGCAGCAGACAGCAACCCAACACCCATCCCCCAAACAATATCTTCCCCTTCTTCCCCACTTTCTCCCAAATAAACCATCCAAACAACTCACAAACCGCGACAAATCCACATCCAACATATCGTCCAAGTTCCATCACCACACAGACGAAACAGGTCCCAAGAGTTTTCTCCAGCATGAGTTGCTTATTTACTATATTACCACCCGATGGCGACAGGCCTTACTATCTCCTAGGAACCAAATGATTATTACCGCACTTTCTGATCCCCCCATATCGTACAGGTTAATGCCAGTTGGCAGTGTATGTTGTGTCCGAGGCGGTTGAGATGCTTAGATTGGGCTCAGTAAGTTAGACTAAAATATTTCGCCAGTGAGAACACTGAAGTTGAAGACCTTAACAAAATTTATGAAACTACAATACTGAAATAAGAAATAACATTATAACTACATTAATTAGTATTCTCTTCTTTTCAATGAGCAATTCTGGATTGTATGATTCTCTTTTCTACACTCACTACAGCTCTATAAAGCTCACTTCTTTGACTACAGCTCATTCAATTAAACACTTCTCATACAAACTTAATGTATTTCCCAAGCGAGCACAACACCCAAGCAAGTGCAACACCAAAATCCCTAGAGCTCAACTCATTAGATTTTAATTCAAATTATCTCAACACTACAACACTCAATTAAATTAAATTAAATTACACACAGTTGAGAACATGTTAATCTTGTATGATCAAGAATATTACAATTGCTGTAGCATTGTGGAGCTCATCAGTATAGAGCAGATGCAGATAGTAAGAACTTATGAAATTAAGTAACTGACTTTTAACAGATGCTACAGACTCTGCACATGATGCAGATGAAGCTAGAAGACTTTGAATTCCATAACTAGTTAAATCTTTTATGTTTTGTTGAATTTGATGTTAGATTTCTTGTATGTTTACTTCTCTATCTCATTTATATTAAATATATTTTAATATTACTTCTTTACAATAGTGATATTAACTATTTCATATTTATAAATCTTGATAATTTGATCAAAGCTTTTACTCTGCTATAGCACTTACTACTAGTAATAATCTTAGTAGTGGTATAAACTCTCATAGCAAATTTAGTCTCATCAAAGTTGTATATATTTTCTGATAGAATTTCATACTTAGTAATTATATCTGTTAAGATATTAAATCAATTACATATAATTTATTGATATTTATACTTGATTTATTTAGAATTATAACATTTGAAATAGCAGCTTTAAAGCTCTGAACAATATATCACTAAATTTGATACTTAGTTCTTGCCAATGTAAAGAAAAAAAATAATAAAAATGATTGAATTCTGTATAGTAAGAAGATAATTAGCTGTATTCTCAATTAATGTTAACTATAAGAAGAATTCTTGTTTAATCTGATTTATTACTCATTCAACTAACTTATCTTCATCAGTAGAAGATAATTTATTTGAATATTTATATAAATTCATTCTTAATTACTGATTATTTAGTTGATAGATTCAAGTAGAATAAAAAATATTAAATAAGTAAGAAGCTTTATGAATTGAAGTAATTTCTTGACTTCAAAAGCTTTTATTATAAGTTCAAGTCTTCTTTCTTTTTCTAAAGACTCTGAAATATTTTTATTTTAAATTGATAATATAATTATAAATTGAAGTAGAAGAATAGTTAACTTAATAGATATTTTAAATTAATATTATATTTGAATATTGTACTTATTTAAAAAATATATTATATAAAAGTTAATCTTATTAAAATTATAAAAACTCTAGTTAATAGTCTTATTTTATAGTTAATTAAATTAATTTAATTATTTAACTAACTTAATTTATTATTAAAAGTATCACTTTTATTTTGACTATTTTTACTTGTTAAATCATTCAATATATTGATAAAAATAAAAGATTAAGCTTTTAATTAAAAAAAAACTTCTTTTAGCTATTAAAGCTTATAAATTCAATTAAATAAATTCAAATAAATACTATTAAGATATATAATGATAATCATACTACATTAATTAGAAGATTAAAAATTAAACTTTATATATAAATTTTTTATCAAACTGTTTAAAACTCACCTTTATATAAGAAAAATCTCTAGTTCAATAAATAATATTTATAAATAAATGAGATCTAATACTGTATAATTTAAATAAAGTTCTTACATAGTTATATACTCAGCTTTATATCTTTATTTTTTCAGATACCTCTCATGAATCTAAAGTAATTCTTATGATATCAAGACTTCTTATACTAGCTTTTTATCCTCATACTGTTTACTAAAGCACTTTATAAGAAATCAACTCTTTATAAAAAATTAGTTCTTTATGATGAATTAATATTTTATAAAGAATTAATACTTTATAAAGAATCAGCACTTTGTAAAGAATCAGTACTTTATAATAAATTAGATTACTATATTACTATATTTTTATTTTATAAAAAATTAAAAATAAAATATATATTATTTATTTATATGAATAAATTTTTTTAAATTTTTTGAATTTTTTTTATAAAGATTTAGTAATTAACTATTATTCAATTTTATATTTATATTTATTTATCACTATTCTCTTCTTTTTTATAGTACTCATAGTATTTATATATCTATAAGAAGTTGAATCTCTAGATTCACTCTGGCTGGCTGACTCAGCCTAGCCATCATTTGCACATGCGCATGTGATCATGCTATGTGAGCTTGCTTAAGCTTGAGTTCTCATCTTGTTCTTTTCTTCCCTTTCTCAAGCAATTCATCTTTGTTATATAGAAGGACTAGCCTTTAGTTCTTAGAGCTTAACTCTTTACATTACAAATTGCTTCATTTCTTTTATTGATAGGCCATTGAAAGTTTTAATTCTGTATCACAAAGCTCAGCAAACATGCTGACATATGATAGACTATTGAGAGTCTTAAATCCTGCATCATGAAGTTCAGTGATAGCACTGGTATATGAATAGACTGAGTTAGCAATTGTGCAAACAAACAAACAAGTAACATTGAAAATGTCTAGCTGAATGAGATAAAGCAGCAGACTTGTACAACAAATACACAAATGAATCAATATGAAGCAATGAGCAGAGACACTCTCAGCAGCTTTGAACAACAATAAATGACCTTTCTTCAACAGCAGAAACAGGTCTAGTGTGAGAACAGAGATTTAATAGCAGCTCAGCAAGCTGAAATAGCTAATCTATAACAAGCTTTGAACACTCTGACATCAACCCTCTCTCAATTGAACCTGCAATCACTTATTGCAGTCAGAAGATCAAAGATCAAGCTACTGGACTGCAAGAAGTATAATGGTTCTAATCTGAAGCACTACTCTCAGTGAGAGCTAAAGCTTCAATCAAAACTTAAAATTGATGGGAAAGCTTTAGATAATAATGAGAAATGTGCTTGATATGTGTACTTGAGACTGGAAGAAATGGCAGCAGCTTGAGTTTACCTCTGAGTTGAGAATAATAAGAATAAGGTCAACTTCACAGTAGAGAGCTTACTGAAGCAGACACACATGCTCTTTAGTGATTCTGCATGACAGAAAAAGACTATGCAAAAGCTCAACAATCTATGACAGAGTAGAAGAGCTCTCTTCAACTTTCTGCCTGAATTTAATCAGCTACTGCTGGAAGCTGGTGGTCACAGATGAGATGATTGCATTAAAAAGAGATATTTAAAATCCACTCTAAGCATGAAGCTGAGAGAAGGCATAGTGGGTGTAAGGGAACCATCTCTCTATGAGAATTACTGCAAGAAGTTTAGATTAGTTGATCATCAACTCTCTAAGCTTAAGACTTTAAGACAGTGACCTAAACATCATAAGAGCAGATCTTCTTCAGATCATACAACATCTAATCCACACTCTCTACTTCATCATGTTGTTCTTGATTGACAAAACTGGTCTCAAGCTTCTGCTGATGATCTGATGAATCTCTCTTCTGATGCTGTGATTTCAAGTGTCTACTACATCAAATTGATAAATTAGACAAAGATTAATTGATGAAGAGAGCAAGGCCTGTGCCTGAGATGCAGAGCTGGAGGTCATATGATTAAGAACTGTCTGTTCAAACCTCCCAGACACTCTGCCACCTTCATGATAGCTAAGATGATCCCTGAGCCAGTACTGAATGACAATGATATGAATATGAGTGAGGATTCAGGAAAAAGAGTAGCTTCAATCAAAAACCCTTCACTGTCAATGCTCTAGTGGATAATGCCTTTTCAACTAGAGCAATGATAGACAGTGGATGTAATGTCTATGATCTTATTTCTCAATTCTATGTTAACAAGTATAAGCTCCTGTACATTGAAATTCCCTCTGTTAAAATGACCAGCTTTGAAGACTTCATGAGACTCTCCACAAGCATAGTAACTGGCATTTGAATTGATATAGATGGTCATGTAACTGAACAGACCTTTCTCTACATAGTGAATGAGTTATATGATCATGATATGTATTTAGATGACCTCTGGCTGGCCCAGCAAAAGATGACTGTGATATCTCATCAAAGAATTGTGAGATTTAAAGAGAGTGATATGGAGGTAGAGTCTAGTTCAAATGCAAAAGCTGATGTGATTCTCATCTCTAATGTAAGCTTCTCTAGGCTTGCAAGCACTTGAGAGAAGTAAAACATTGAGATCTTCACTGTCAGTTTGACCAACATTCAAAAGACTCTGAAAGTGAAATCAAAGATTGATCCTAGAGAAAAGCTGTCTGAACATTATCATGAGGTTTTGGATGTATTTGATAAGAAAGCTGCCAACACTCTACCCTCACTTTGTGGCTCAGATAGAGGTCATGGAATTGAACTGATTAAAAAGGCTGATAGTAGTGCAGAATAATCCCCTTGAGGCTCACTATATAATATGTCTTGAGAGGAACTACTGACTTTGTGAAAGACTCTTACAGATTATCTAGATAAGGGCTTTATTAGAGTGAGCAACTCCCCTGCAGCTGCTCTCATACTATTTGCAAAGAAGTCTGAGGCTGGACTAAGATTCTGTGTGGACTATCAAGCTCTTAACAAAATCATCTGAAAGAATTGATATTCTCTACCATTAATCAGCAAGACTCTACAGTGAATTAGACAGGCTAAATAATTCACTAAGCTGGACATTATTGCAGCTTTTCACAAGATTCAAATCACAGAAGGTGATGAGTGGATGACAGCCTTTAGAACCAGATACAGGCTATTTGAGTGGTTGATTACACTCTTTGATTTGGCCAATGCTCCAAGCACATTTCAAAAATATATCAACTAGGCATTATATGAATATCTGGATGACTTCTACTCAGTCTATTTAGATGACATCTTGATATTTTCCTCAAGAAGCTTACAGGAGCATCACAAGCATGTATAAAAGATGCTTATGCATCTACAGAAAGCAGGCCTGCAGGCAGACATCAAAAAGAGTGAGTTTGAGATGAACAGTACAAAATATCTTGAATTCATCATTGAAGCAGGCAAGGGTATATGAATGAATTCAGAGAAGGTTAAAGCTGTTTTGAAATGAGCAACACCTATTACTCTTAAAGATGTATAAGGATTTTTAGACTTTGTCAATTTCTATAGACAATTTATCAGAGATTTCTCAAAGATCACAACCTCACTGATGATTCTTACATGCAAGAATGTTTCTTTTTTGTAGATGAGCAAGGCTGAAGAAGCTTTTAAGCATCTAAAATCAATGCTTATCTTCACTCTAATCCTGCTTCAATTTGACTCTGACTATGAGACTATATTGAAAACAGACTTCTCAGATTACATCTCAGAAGAAGTGCTGCTACAATATGATGAGCAGAGCATTCTATGCTCATGTGCCTTTTTCTCTTGCAAGCATTCACCTGCAGAATGCAACTATGAGATTCATGATAAAGAGTTATTAGCAATAATTGAGTGTTTAAAGAAATAGAACATTGAGCTATGAAGTGTAAAGAAATTTAAGATTCTCACAGATCATAAGAATCTAGAATACTTCATGACTACATGCAGACTAAATAAAAGACAGCTACATTGAATGGATATTCTCTATTGATTCAACTTCAGAATTGATTACTGGTCAGAGAAGTTAAACACTGAACCAGACACTCTATTGTAAAGAGAGCAGGACATGTCACAGAGTGCTGATGATGAGAGAATCAAGCAGAGGCAAGCTCAACTATTTAAGTTTAATGTACTGGCATCTGGAATGGAATCAATAGTGACTGCTGCCAGCATGAAATCTGAGATGTCTCTTCAAGCTCAGTGAAATGAGATTTGCAAAAATGACAAGATTCTGCAGTATCTGAAGCAAACTCTTCATGAGAGAAGATTCAGATTTTCTTCTGAACTCAGTAATAAGACCTCTGTCTCTGAGTGCTCTTTAAATGAGAACAGGAAGCTTCTCTTTCAAGATCATAAATAAGTGCCAGACTTTGAACCTCTTCAAATCAGATTAGTGCATGAGGCTCATAACTCATCTCTTATCAGTCATTTCAGATGAGAGCAAACAGCAGAAGTTCTAATACATGAGTTCTACTGATCAGACTATGCTGCTGATGTGAGAAGAATGATCAGAAACTGCCATCTTTGCAGATCAAACATTATATGAAGAGATCAACATCAGAGACTGCTTAAGCCTCTTCTTATTTCTGAACACATGTGGCAGGAGCTTTTCATAGACTTTATTATGAACTTATCAAGCTCTAAAGAATGCATGAATATCATGGTTATAACAGACAGACTGATCAAGGGGGTTATATTAAAAGTAGTTAAGAAAGCTGATGCAGAGACAGTGACTAGAGTGTTTCTTTGCAACATTATTTCTCAACATGGCATTTCTAAGATGATAGTGTCAGATTGAGAATCAGCTTTTACAAGCATGTTTTGAACTTAGATGTGTGAGAAATTAGATATTAAAAGATGACTTTTCACAGTCTATCACTCAGAGACTGATGAAGCTACAGAGTGAATGAATTAGACTGTGAAAATCTATCTACACAAGTATGTTAGCTTTCAACAGAATGACTGGCATGAATGACTCTCTCTAACAGAGATGATTATCAATAATAGAGATGCTGCCTCAACAGATGTGAGCTTATTTTTTTTAACACATCTTTTCCACATCTTCTTCATTGATATAGCTGATACACTCTCTGTTGAAACATCACATAATCTCATTGAGTTTGCAGATGATTACATGAGAAAGGCTCACAAAGTGTTGAAGTGAGCTCAAGTAAAAATGATAAATGCTCAGCAATCTCAAGAGAAATATATGAATAGATGAAGAGACCCAGCTTCAAGCTTTCAACCTGGAGATAAGATCTGATTAAGCTTAGAGAACATGAGAACTAATCATCTGTGCAAGAAGCTGGATGTGAAATACAATCAATATACTGTGCTAGAAAAGATAGAATTTCATGCTTACTGACTGAACATTTCATCTGACATTCACAATGTCTTTAATGTAAAGCTTCTACATGCTGTGGTGACAGATCCCCTGCCTAGTCAGAGGCAAACTGACTGGCAGTCACTCACTATAGAGATCTCAGAAGGATCTGAGTTTGAGATTGAGAAAATTCAGAGTGAATAAATCTATCAGAGAAAAAAGTAATACCTCATTAAATGAATAGATTGAGCTGAGTCTATGTGGAATGATGCAAGTCTCCTATAAAAAGTGAAGGCCTTGAATGCTTGAGAGGCCTCTCAGCAGGCAAAATTAGATGTAAAGAGAGCTTTAAATAGTCATAAAGACCTGCAACAAAGAGGGAGAAGAGGGGTATTATAAGGAATTAAACCTCTAGATTTGCTCTGGCTGGCTGACTCAGCCTAGTCATTGTTTGCACATGCACACATGATTATGCTACACAAGCTTGCTTAAGCTCAAGTTCTCATCTCATTCTTTTCTTCCCTTTCTCAAGCAATTCATCCTTGTTATATAGGAGGACTAGCCTCTAGTTCTTAAAGCTTAACCCTTTACAGAAGCAAATGCAAATCAAGTAAGTCTCAGAACATGTTTGATATTGTTGAGAGATCAGATGTACTGACAGCATTGTGTTGACACACCATCAGACTTGCTGTCTGAGGAGATGGGAGAGAGCTTGTAGAAATGTGATCAAGATCAATTAAGACATTTTTGTAGTTTTTTTTGATTGCTATTGAGATGAAAGAAGGTGCTGAGGCCTGCTTAGATTATAACAACCTTGCATGATCACATGGTCATGTGATGAGGGTTAGGCCTTTTCAGGCACCGAGCCTAATCTGACATCGAGTTTAATCAGGCGCTGGCTGTTAGGCTCAGCGCCCGACCGAGCCCGACCGAGGCCCGGTGCCCGATTAGACTCGACGTCGGATTAAGCTCGGCGCCCGATTAGGCCTAATTCTCATCACGTGACAACGCAGGCCCCAGCACCCCCTTTCATCCCATCAAGCTTAGTATTTCGTTATATAGCAGTTAGCAACGCAGAGAATTTTCTTCTTATGCAGCTCGCATTCGCTCCCTAACACTAGCCTTGGTCGGACTCAGTTGGGCACTGAGCCTAACATCACCCTCTGGTCTAGAAACAGACATGTCCTCATGCTGGTAGGTATTATCAACCTCACCCTTTAGGTAACTGTCTGTCTCCCATGCCTTCAGCCACTCATCTAGTCACCTTGAGAGTCTGGCTTTGTAGAATTAGTTTCATAGAGGTCATATATGATATGTGATGATTCTTTGAAGTCATGAGCTGGATATCAAGATGAATCCTCATCAAATCTCTTTTAATGGACTTGATATTGCAATTTGTCTTGATTCATTTGACTGACTAATATATACTTCATCTTTCATTTATTTTCTTCATCTATCTCAATTGAGTCTGGTGGTTTGACAGTCTGTTCTGATAGAAGATCTTTTGAATCTTGATATAATTTGTCTAAAAAGAAGATTAAATAAATCTTTATAATTATGAGAAGATTCAGTCTATAGACATTGCTCATCCTCTTTAAAATTTTAAAGAAGTTTATGATCTGTGCTGTTAGCTTACAGCTTGATCAGTCAATTCTATATGATTTCAATGTCAAATAGATGAAATCTCTCACTGTGAAGTTAGATTCTCAGTAATATCTATCAGTTCATTTCTTTATTTATTTCTGTGCTGTCTTCATGCTTCTTGTTTATCTGCTTTCAGATCTTTTTCATTTAGTTAACAAAGCTTTAAGCAGCTTTTCAATTTGTTCTTTCTTCTGTATTTAGTTCTCTTAGCAGAGATCTTCAGTCAAATGATGTTCATGATTTATATTCATTTACAGCTAGAAAGTGATAGGGTGCGAATGCGAGCTGCATAAGAAGGAAACTCTTTGCATTGCTAACTGCTATATAACGGAATACTAAGCTTGATGGGATGAAAGGGGGTGCTGGGGCGGAAATCATTACGTGGTCAATCACGTATTACCAGCGACAGCGCCGTAACAGATTGTAAGCATGTTCAGCAACTTAATATGCAGATTGAAGCTCAAATTGAAGCTATATCTCTTCAGCAAGCTCCTCCATGCTGCAGTGACCGTGAGACTATTGAACATACTATACACAGTTGCCTAATAAATAGCTATATAATCAATTATTAGCTAGTCTCAATTTATTAATATTTTAAATATTTAAGTGTGTTGGTTGTTGAATACATTGAATATTTGATGATTTTCAGAGAGAATCCGCCGCTCGGTGGTGAAGTACGTTATACATTATAACTTAGCAGTAGCTCAAATACTGAAATTGACCATCTTTATAAGCTACTTGACAAGTCGTTCCTTGATTTGAATTAGGGATGGCTGACATATTGAATTAATTAGCTCGTAAAGTTAAATATGGAGTCACAGGGTATATTACGTTTAACCATAAACGGATTAGTTAGTCAACCAAACTAAATTAAGGTTAAGGGTGGACCGTGTGAACCAAACTTTCACATCCCGGTCAACCGGGGTCCTTGGGGAATATTTCCTACGGGTCAACGATATTTCTCATATCACTTGCACTGGATTAATTCCCTTGTTTCCAAAACATAGTATAAGTGCCTGGTTGGTCCTTCGAAAACGGAATAGTGGAAATCTTAGATCATAACCATTTTCAAGTGAGGAATATTTGCGGCTATAATCATCTTAGGTTCCCGGGTATGATGTCACAATGCCCTCCAAAATTTTGCAACAGATTGCATCTCCTGCCAAGCCGACACTTACAGCGGTCTTGATACGACTTTTTTATCACAAGCTGTGGAGTCATATTATTCCCTTGCAAATCTCCTAACAATCGAAACGGGATATGCCACTCTCAGCAAGTCACTCTCAGCAAGTCAGTGGTGGCGGTCTGTCCTATGTCCTCTGAGTTTATGGCTCACTTCTAGACACTCTTTCAAAATGACCGGTGAGCACTGGTGCTATCACAGCTGAGGGATGATATTTGAAATGATAGGATACCATTTCTGCATTCCAACCGTTCGCAACTGGGCTGAAGCAGTGGATACGACGAGGAATTGAAAATGTATTCGAATGATTCCTGTGACTGCTGCCCATCTGTATTTCAGTGCGAGCAGCAGCTACGCGGACTATGCTTGTCATGTCCTCCATCCTGATTTGGGCTAACGGGATGCTTCGGTTTGAAAAGCTAGTGGTAATAAACGATCTTGGGCCCTGGGTGTCAACAGGTCGATCGGATAGGGGTATAAACAGGGTTTTCACCATTCAATTCTCCAGAGCGCCAGGCGGCTGTTCTATGCAAGGAGTTTGTATGGCAGGTACTATTGGGGTGTAGGGTCGAGTAGTTTGGCGGTTCAAATATGACAATTCGTAGAGTTGATGCATTGGATTTCAGTGACGCAGAAAAATTCTGAGTGATTCAAAAGGTTGTTGCAGATGATCGCACACGGATGGAGAACAATTCAGGAGGCTTGCCACTGCATTCTACGGAGAATCTTCCAGAATATAGGACAGTTGTATAAGCCGGACGCAGGGTTTTGTAGTTATAAGTTCTGACCTGAGTGCATACATAACTATGAATATATTATGGTTCTCGTTCTCGCAACTCCTCTTATGGTTCGTGCCACGTTCCTGAGTTCGAGCCAGTTCCTTGATGCTCCTTGTATTTCGGCAATTGAGGCAAATGAAGTCTATTGATGGATACTATATTGTTGGCGACTAAGTGGAACTTTGACACGCCGCTAACCGTGCATTTAGACAATCTGTCCGCAGATCCTGGTGTAGATTGGCAATCGATTTGAATGGAGTATGCGAGGAGGCTAGCAAGTCCTGTCATGTATCAATTGCTTCTCACGTTACTCCCGCAGAGGAAGCTTAGAAACCCATGGACAGCAGCCAATCCCGCTCTGCATTGGTCAAAGCATCTGGAGCGAGCGGTAAAATTGGAATCCAATTCCACAGGGGAGGGATGACTCAGGCCTGACTCAGCCAGTTTCGAAGCACGACGATTGGTGATCATCAAAACAACAACGTAAACAAAAACATAAACAACAACAAAGCAATAACAACCTTGGAACTCGCCCTGATTTCGATTCCGATCCCCATCAGGATCCTGATCTAAGGCACTCGAACGAACGAGGCTCACCTACCAAAGTTTTATGGTGTTCTAGCCAATCACGCTCCCTACTGTACGTAGTTCTTCCGTCCTCACTTAGAAGTCCCTGGCGAACAATTTTGTTTCGCCTCTGATGCCTGTGACCTGACCCTGAATATTGCCAGAACCAATTCCGTAGAAACAAAGTGTAGTTTGAAGATGGATATTCTTTATATAAATAGAACTGCTGCTGCTGCCTGCTGTTGACTGTCCGTACCCGTCGATATTCTAAAGGTCTTCTCGTAGTCTCCACTCACTTTCCCCGCTATCCCTTGCTACAGTTGGGCAATACCAGTTACCCGCTCCTCAGTATATTCCTTCATACACATCCCAACGACTTGAAGACAGACAGATGCAGCCCATGAATCTCGAGATTATTCAAGCATTTTAATGACCCCAATGTATGCTAAATATCCTACTCTCCCGCAGATTATTAAAAAGCCGCATGTTGCACCGGATATGGTTTGGTGCTGACATCTCGAACCCAAACAGATCCACCGAAATATATCAAATAAACAAGACGACGTTCAACTTTAGCTAACTGACATCCTCCACAGCGATTGAATTTCTCTCCTTTTTCAAATTTGATTATCTATTAAGGCCTCTCTTTCTTGACTAGACGATTTTGAAAGAAGCAGGAGAGACTCACGGCCAATGACTGTACCGTACAATAAAATCAACGTGCTTTCATTCCCCAGTCTGACGATTCCCCCGAGTCGCACACACATCCACATCTCTTCCCCGTACAAATCCTTCGGGATCGTTGCAGCTGGAAAGGAAGAGCAATCTCATTGAGGCCGATATACACTGCAACTTGTCAGAAGACCTCATATTGGATACTATTACAATAATAGTTATCTGAAGCACTGTGTGCCATGCAATAATGGAGGGCGTTGTAGACCCAGAAACCTTCTACACCAAGCAGACTTGCATCGGTATGTCAAGGGTGTTCAATAATAGAATTACTTGAGGACTCTTGATTGACTTTTGTACAGGAGGCGGGAGCTTTGGAAAAGTTTACAAAGGGTATGTGGTTGTTATTCTCCTTGCTGCATCCCCAGTTCTCAATAATCTTCAAGGATATATCTAATGTTTATGTTTCCTTTTTAAATGTAGAGTAGATAAGCGGACAGGCCAAGCTGTTGCGATTAAGATTATTGATGTCGAAAATGCCGACGACGAGGTTGAAGATATTATTCAAGAAATCTCCATTCTGTCCGAACTCAATTCTCCATATGTCACCAAGTACCATGGCTCGTTCTTGAAGGGATCAGACCTGTGGATCATAATGGAGTTTTGTGCAGGTGGAAGTTGTTGTGACTTGATGCGTGCAGGCCTCATTACTGAGGACTACATCATGATCATTCTCAGAGAATTGCTAATGGGACTGGATTATCTCCATAGTGACAAAAAATTACACAGAGATATCAAAGGTGGGTAATCCCATTTTTATCCCATGTTGTGTATCCACTGGAACTGAAAGAATTTTCCTTCGATTTAGCTGCAAACGTACTTCTTGGGGCAAATGGTCAAGTTAAACTGGCAGATTTTGGCGTCTCGGGACAACTTTCAGCGACCATGACCAAGAAAAACACTTTCGTTGGCACCCCTTTCTGGATGGCGCCAGAGGTTATCAAGCAATCCGGATATGATCACAAAGCAGACATATGGTCCTTGGGTATTACGGCGATCGAACTGGCACAGGGCGAGCCACCATACTCCGACATCCATCCAATGAAAGTTCTCTTCCTGATTCCCAAGAACCCACCTCCAGTACTTCAAGGCGACTTCAGCAAATCATTTAAGGATTTTGTGGAATTGTGCTTGAAGAAAGACCCTAGAGAGCGACCTTCAGCCAAAGAGCTGCTTAAACATTCTTTTGTTAAACGAGCAAAGAAGACAACTTATCTCACTGAGCTTATTGAACGATCAGAGCGGTGGCAGGCAGTTCATGGTAACCGATCAGCTGATGATGGGGACGAACGAGATAGTTGTCGGCCTCCGCATAAACCTTCTCCCGAGGAAGAAGATCTGTGGGACTTTGGCACCGTCAGACCAGCCGGTGGGAGGGCGGCAGGGTTACAGGCAATGAATGATGCCGCTGCCAATGCAAGAAAGCAGGTACATGAAAAAACAAATAGAGCACCAATTGAACCACGGAAGTGCTCTGCGGATCTGCATATTCAGGACAAACCGTCGAAGGATACCATGAAGGCTCTACCATTACCTCCTAGATCACCTCAAAAACGTAATCTTCCCGTTGCCCTCCCGGCCTCTCCTATATCTGCTGCCAATGTTCCACTCCCACCATCAATGCAGAAACAAAAGTGTCTTCAGGAACCATTATTGCCCAAAACTCCTTCACATTTCACGAAGCCTCTGCCATTGCCCCAGAAGGAAAGTCCCAGCACGAGCGATTATGACAAGGCATTGCAGCTATCCTTAGCTCAGGACATTGGTTTTCTCCAACTTGGTGAAGCAAGCGACCCGCAACGTTCGCAGCAAAAACAACTCCCATACCCGGCTCCCAATTCACCCACACCAGCCCCAGCATTCCAGGATCATATTCCAAAGAAACCAATTCCAATGCATATACCGGAAATACCACCATTTAAGGGGCATTCTCTGGCAAATCCGTTGGAAGATGCATCAAACAAAAAGCCCAGTCCAGCTAAGGTCAGCCCTTGCCAAAAGCCCCCAGGGGAACAACCGCTTCCATTTCTCGCATTTCAGTCCCACACTTTGGATCAAAATGTCCAGCAGCAGCCACCACCTCCCATACAGCAGCAACAACGCCTTCCGCAGCTATCAAACACGCAGCCAAAGGATATACCAAACAAACTGGAATTACCACCACTGCAACATCCACCCCAACCACTGCTACAACAAGACCAGCTACGCAAATCCAGTAAATTCAATCAACCCTCATCACTCCCCTTCTCCACAGATCCAACTTCTTGCAACAACGACATCACCGCTCTGAACGGCGTTATCCTTCCTGCCCTCGAAGCCGCCCTTCACCGCCGCACCTACAACATCAACGCCCTAGCACGGGGCTCGGGCGGTGGTGCTGGTCGCAAAAACAACGACCCCGCAGCTACAGAATTGCTCCAACGTCGACACTATGCGCATGAAAAGCTGAAGCGACTCGTTATAAAGGCTGCGGGCATTTTTAAGGAAATTGAGAAGTGGGATGATGACGCTCCTGTCGGGATGGGTGGGGATGTTAGTGCGTTTCTTGAAGGGTTTTTGGAGGAAGTGCTTGTGAGAGTTGAGCCAGAGGAGGATTCTGCTGGTGCTGAGGGTGGGGCGACGGGTAAAAGTGGATGATGGGTGAAGGAGATGGTTTTCCAAGACGTGATTGGACTCTATGTTTTTGTCTGTATGGGTGTGGATGAATCTCCGGGCTTTTTGTGCTGACTGTCAGATTGTGGGGTGAACTTTTCTCTCTCCTTTTTCTCCTTTCTTTTCACTTGTATCTAACTGTTCTGCAATAGGCGGGGTTGGTTCTGCGGGTTTGATATCATAATTCTTGTCCATGTCGGAATTACTGTTAAGTATGTTCTGGTGGTCGGTAGCTGTTTTGATGGACTTTTGAGGGCGGGGTTAGGGAAGCGATCTTTTTATATCTTTTACATTACTCCGTGCTAGCGAGATGAGCCTACCGGGTTGGAAACATGTTTTTGTCGAATTGTCGTGTTAATTGACACTCTCTAGTAACGAGTTATTTGAGAATGGGGTCATGGTTTAAAGCTATTAAATAAATCTTGTTTCTGAAGAAGCAGACATACCACGTCCTTCCGTGAATAAACCGGATATACTACACAGTCAAACCCTTCCCTACATCTGGCTTGGTGCTCGGGTTGCAGAAGTTCTGAGGTTCGATCTGTGCAGATGATCAAGAATGCACCGCAGTATTTCGAGCTCGGTTCTCGTCTTCCAGAGGACTGTTCGTAGAATGGATAAGGCCCTATTGATATGGTCCACGTGTATTGGGGATCGTTCCTATTCTTCTAAGCCTCTTCTAAACGCTGTGGGCTACGCACATTCATCTACGGAGGACATGGTATTATGTGACCTCGGTGGTCGAGGGACGACATCTTGAGGACCTATGGGTTAATGACTTATTAATTGAACAACTGACGATGTATCCCGCTGGAAAAAGCAAATATTCAGTTCCTGTACTTCCGGAGCTCTTAATTTTGTCTCAAACAATGAAATGACAGTTTCATGATTTTCTGTAGGAGCGCCATGTAACTGAGTGGGTTGTTCTATGGCTGATTCGCCGGTTCCGCATCATTTGACTGACGGGTATTAAGTTGGAAAGATTTGTTCACCGACATCGACGGGCGTGCGGGTGATCAATCAGTTTTAAGAGGAAATCCGTAATGGATTAAATTTTTGGCATTTTTTTTTGGACCAATGTTCAACGCTGTGCACTTCATAGAATAGAAACATGATGCTACATCACAAATTACTATGTTGGGCTGCACTTCATGTTCAGTCTCATCAGCAACATTATTCCGGCTAGTGGGGGATTACAGACGGGATTATGAAGTGTTTGGATGGGCCTTGGGACCTGGGAAATAGGCGACTCCCTGTGTTAAATCACTAAGGCTAATGCGTTGCTGATATAGTGGGGCATGCTCAATAACCCCTATACACCCTTCAACAGATTTCGAGAGATGTTGCCTGTGTTCTCTCGAATCTAATTATTTAATTATGTACAGAAACTGGTGGCTGTTAGTTCTTTGTTTTGCCCGATGAATTGGATTGCTTTAAACCTAAAGTTGAGTGCTTCGATGCATTCCACTAATGCACCCCAGTTGCATCCAAGATGCAAGGTGGTCCATGCGAATGGCTCCACTCCTTCTTACATAGCTATTATCTATATACCGCATGCAGCTAGCCTCCATATTAGTTGTTTATCAAACTATCAAAGTAAAACTTGGACTCACGTATCCTCGTATGATGTATATAACCGCTGTCTCCTTGATCACTTTAACTGGGGCGTATAATTTCATTTTGCTATATCGACCAAGCAATCACTTTCTGACGATTTTCTCAATCTGTACACTTCCTCTATTGATGCACCTTCACACAGTGGAAAATGATATTTTCTGGTTAGTTTCTCGTCTGATGTGATAACAGCCGTGAGGCACTCACCGCTTAACCGTCTAACCATATCCTAGCAACTCCTCCACACATTGCGTTTCCATGTCTTATTGCGCTTTCACTTTTCTTGATCAGTAGCCTTGGGAAAGTGAGCACCTTCTCTGCGTTGAACCTGTGCTAATTAGGTCCTCTTCCTGCAACAAAACTCGTTCCGTGACATAAAGCGGAAGATAGAGAAATTGGCAGGCCTTTTGTTGACCACTATCACATGGGTATATAGGTCGTCAAGAGGCTTTTCTTCTCCCCGCTCCGAAACGTACCAGGGCCTTTTCTCGCAAAGATTACTAACGGATGGCTCTTATATGTAAGCCTTAGAGGCCATCGAGCGAAGACGATTCACAAGCTGCACCAGAAGTATGGACCAGTGGTACAGATTGGGCCAACAGAACTTAGTTTCTCTAGCATGGAAAGCATAGAAACAATCTATGGAACAGGAACTCGGTTCCTCAAAGCAACAATTTATACAACCATGGGCCGTTTGGGTGTTTTCAACACACAGGATCCAGTAGCTCACAAGGAGCGGCGGAGGTTATTGAACCACGCTTTTTCACAACACCATGTCAATGGTATGGAGCCAGCTTTTCAAAATTCGGTGCGGAAGCTGGTAGCCAGGATAGAGCAGCAGAAAGGAAAGGCTTTGGACGTAAAACATTGGTTCAAGATGTACACACTGGATAACGCGGGCGAAGCTTTCCTCGGAACATCCTTTGGAGGGCTAGATTCGGACGAGTCACCACAATATGTGAAAGATTTTGATTTGTTTTTGATTTCGTGGACTTTTAAAGTAACTTTTCCGATGCTCTCTTGGTTGCTGCAGAGAATACCCCACCCAAAGATTCAGTTTATCTTTGGCACAGACCTTCGAATATATCAGGTTGGTTTGCAATCAGCCCGATTAGTCTCTTTCCTTTGGTTCGACTCCGTCATTTGTATATAAGTGACTGACTTGCGGTTTCTGCTGTTCTAATAGTATGGAATCGATCGTTTTAACGAATACATCCAGACATATGGACGTGCGTCACAAAGAAAAGATCTTTTAACCAAGATGATTGGCCGTAGAGAAAACGATCCGGATGCCTTAGCTGACAGTGAGGTTGCTGTGGAAATCAGTAACCTTGGCTTTGCGGCCACGGATACCCTGGGGACCGCTCTGGTGTACCTTTTCTGGGAGCTCGCTCGGAATCCGGCCCTAGCGAAAGGACTTCGCTCCGAGCTTGCTGAAATTCCGCTAGTAGATGGGGTAATGCAACATCATAGGGTATCGAGTCTCCCCTTCCTAGACGCTCTTATAATGGAGGTATTACGAGCCTACCCACCTCTGCCAGCTGGACTCCCAAGGGAGCCCTCTGTGCATGGGTTGAGCATAGACGGCGTCTACATCCCTCAAGGTGTGAGTAGATATATATACAAATTTCCGCAGATATTCTCTCCTTTTCTTCGATCCGCGGCCTGTTAACTATGATCCTTACTGATATATATGACGAGCTTAGACCGTTGTTTCAACGAATACGTGGACCACGCATCACAACCCAGATTATTTCCCGGACCCTGACAAGTTCGACCCGACCCGTTGGCTTGGAGGTAATGTGTCCGATGGGATGAAGAAACTCTGGATGCCATTTTCCAAGGGCCCACGGAATTGCATGGGACAGGCCATGGGGCTGTTTGAAATGAAGATATTAGTCGCGACATTGATCAAGCAGTTTAACATCAGCGTTGACGATGCGATGAGTGATGACGGAATGGATGTTATGGATTATTTTGTTCTCATCCCCAAGGGGGGTAAATGTCTTCTCAAATTCACATCGGTTTAAATAAGTGGGATACGATAAGCAAGTGATGAGTGGGAAGATTTCCCAAGCTGCGTCGTTTAAATAAGGTTCAGAGAGAGGAAGGTTTCACATTCTTCCAGAGTAAACTGACCTAGTTAGTGACCTTGGCAAGTTTGCCTGGCTGCTATTAGTTAAGTCACCATACCAAACTGACTAACTAGTTAGTTAACTAATAGTTAACATCGTTCAGCAATAATTGGCGGGTAGCTAAAAGTTAGCTATTATTTCAATCCATCAGTGGCACATTTGAGAGCAAGCGGCGTAGTTAACCATTCTCTTAAATCAATCTTCTTACTAGCTTTTGCTGTGTAGTTATATATCGCTTCCAGGATAGTTTCCCCTTAATTAACTCTCAATAACGTATAATTAAAGGATATTTACAGACATAATTTAAATTGGGACAAATTGAACTAACATATAACAATACATATAAATACAAATAAATGACTGGTATTAATAAGTCTGATTAGTATAGTTAATATAAGCATAAAATAGAGATGCATCCATCTTTCTCTAATTGGGGTTATCCAATGATAAAAGAGATCTCTGATACTGAAAATAATAAGAGCACTGAATGAATGAAAGCAATTACCTTGATTTATAAGATGAAACACTAAAGTGGATTGAAGTATCATATGAGAAATTTGAGTACCAGATTACGTTGTGACTAGCAGTGATCTTAATCAAGCTCCTCAAAGTCCTTGTTTAGGTAATAAGGTCTTCAGTGGTGAAGTGTGGACAGCTTATCCAGCGACAGAAACGTCAATTCAATTCCCAGACTTTTGGGGGAGAATGCTTATTTTGAGGACACATTTATTTGTCTTGATTCATTGACTGCCGTAATTCACCTATCTCCCTTGTTATTCCTTAGGTCAGTTTCACGCCAATCACCATCAACAAGAATGTTTTGCGCCTTCAAATTACCATGAGTGAATACAACCCCATAATGATGCTGTGAAAGGGTCTTCGCAAGTACTAGGGCGTCCATATATATTCCGTCACGGAGTTGAACCCATGAGATGAAACCGGAGAAATAAGGTGCTCGAAGAATTGGGTCTGATTTATGAAAGATCCCATTATATGATCAGGAACCCGTGAACTTTGTAGAGGCGTTCCAATCAGGGAGTAGATAGATTCCTGGCTTGGTAGAAGCCATAAACGCATAGAACTCATACACATTTTTCAAGTTCCTCCAACAATGGTTCCTCAGAGTCACTCTATAACTCATCATTTCGATTTTTCAAAAGGCGCCCCGGGCAGTCGAGTCATCAAAATCGAGATTCACTTGTCGAATGAAAGCCATTAGATGTTCCCCACAATTTAAAACCTTAGAGGCAGGCATCCCAGCAGCCTCTGCCATTTGCATGGACACAACTTCTTCAATACTGGTCCGGTCTGTTCATTTCATCACAAGTCCAAAGGCAACTGTATGATATTAGCTTTGAAAGGGACCTGAAACCAGTAGCAATACCACTGAAAAAAGTAGTGTAGTGACTTGTACAAGATGTCCCATGCTATCCTGACGGCTCTGCCTGGGACACGAGGCACAGTTGGCGTTGCCTTCAAGATCGTGAAAGTTATTGGACGGGGTCAAGTAAAGTCCGGTTGTAAAATATGTGGGATCATTGATGGATATATATGCACATGGAAGTCATCTTGGGAGTGGATGTACGGGAGTAGGTTGAGGGGTTGTTTGAGTTGGATGTTATCCCGAGAGGTTAGTTACCGGCTCCAGCCCTGTGTCCCAATTCTGGGGGCACGATGTGTAGTTATGCGATTTCGTAGTATCGACAAAGTAGTCTGGAAATGGCACGTGCAGTACACATTGAGTGAGACCATGGTCAATAATTAATAGAAAAAATATGCTACGCTCAACCTTCTCCGATTAGTTAACTATTGGCTTGAACAGGCGCGTCAGGTGCAGCAAAGTTGATAACTACCTTGTTGGTCAGGCTTCCCTGCTACTCAACACCTTGTGGAACTCTGCTCCATATCAACCATGGATAATATAATACCCCTGGACCCTGAATAATGTTACGCAAACGACTGTTTTTACCTCCGATCACCTACCTGCAACGGATCCATGGAATAACTCCCGAAGTTGTTACCTTTGGTTGGGGAGTTAATGTTGGAGCCTAGGCTTCCTATTACGGACTAGCGCACCGCAGAGTAATAGCATTCCCCGAGATAGGCTACCAATACGGAGGAACAACCAACTTGAGACGTCCCGCTGTTAACACCAAAACTGGGGCAATCCGGATCACATGACACCATTTTCAACCCCCAATTGACCTTAAGTTCTTCGACAATATCGTCGCTATCAAACGGTCCTTCATAGGGAACCGGAACCTTCATTCCCAGCAATGAATACTAGCAATCAAGGGCGTAAGTTTCAGGTCCATGATCTAGTTAGTCATATCGCTGATCCCTCGTGAAATACTTTATCTCTACCCCTCCGCGGATTTTCCCCTCATTTTTCCAAGGCACCACTGATTTGGGTAACTAGGACCCATACGACGTGCCGTATATGCCGAGCCATTGGAGACCTCGGAGCTGAGCCCCACGAAATGGTAACAGATTGCCGCTTCTCGGCCTGTCTGTTGTTTCTCAATAGAAACATTTCTAAAGATATTTGAATGAAGAACCAGCTAGATGGATGGTCATCCAAATATCTTCAGTCTCATTTTCATTTTGATATATGCTGACATTCTGTCAACTTTTCTCATCGCGAATGGAGTCCTCAGATATGTTTTCATTGCATTGGCTAGTATCATGGGCGCCACCATGTTAAATAGCGTTATCGCTGCGTGTGTAGGAGAGACAGTCTCCGTTATATCGAGATACCCCTCAAAGCGGGGATGTGGCGCTAGAAACGAAATACAGCTCCTACTTGAATCCGACGAACCTAGGTACTTCTTCACTCATGGAGCATATGCACCATGTGGACCTTCAAACTAGGATACAGTTTTTGGTTGCCACAGGTTAGGGAAGGCTTCTGTACTTTATATAACTATCTCAACGTCGCAAAAATTCTTTACCATGGTCTACCACTATCAATTCCAGCTCCAAAGACCACAGTAACATTCTTGCATTATAGAATATATCTACAAAGGAAATTTGGAACAGCAGCCATGGGGGAATTAGTCGAAATCCCAAAACAGGCGAAAGCCATCATCTATGACAACCCCGGAACTATCTCAACCAAAGTCGTGACTGTGGATGTGCCTGAACCAGGTCCTGGAGAAGTCCTTATAAATCTGTATGCCAGGGATCTCATTTTTTGTCCCCCTGTATATCCCATCTCACTTTGAGCAAGAACTGTCTGATACTGATATATATTGTTTGATGAATAGGACTCACTCAGGGGTATGTCACTCAGATTATGGAATTATGACAAATAGTGTATGCCACACCGCATGTCCATCATTTTGCTTGGAGATGTTTTTACTCACTCAACCTTTCAGTGGAAGAATCTCCCGTACCCGACGCAGCCCGGGCAGGTTGGTGGTCATGAAGGTGTTGGAAAAGTCGTCAAGCTTGGCACAGGCACAGAGAGGTCTGGTATAAAGCTTGGAGATCGTGTGGGCGTCAAATGGGTCTCATTCGCTTGTGGTAGTTGCGGTATGTCTTCTTTTTAACCACGCATACATGATGATTACTTGTAATTACACATACCAAAAATCGGCATTCCAAATAGGCACACAACTTTACTAATCTCAATTAATCTGTATAGAACCTTGTTGTTCTGGAGTAGATGCAGCGTGTTTGGAGAGTAGAGTTTCCGGATATTACACCCCAGGCACGTTTCAGCAATATATTTTGGGCCCCGCAAACTACGTCACTCCGATTCCAGACTCCCTTTCCTCAGACGCGGCTGCCCCTTTTCTTTGTGCTGGAGTAACTGTCTACTCTGCCCTTAAACGCAGTCGTGCTCAACCAGGAAACTGGGTCATCATTTCAGGTGCGGGAGGAGGGTTGGGTCATATTGCCATCCAGCTCGCCAGTCGGGGCCTGGGACACCGTGTCATCGGGATCGATCACGGTAGCAAGAAAGATATTGTTCTCGAATCTGGCGCGGAACATTTTATAGATATCACGCAGTTCACTGATAACGGGCCGAAAGGTGGAAAATTGGCTGAACATGTCAAATCCCTCACAGGAGGCCTAGGAGCACATGCAATCATTGTCTGCACATCCTCAAATGCTGCGTATGAGCAGGCTGTATACCTGTTACGCGTGAGCGGTGTTCTAGTCTGTGTTGGTATACCAGAGAACGAGCTGAAACCCATTGCGTCGTCGTTTCCTGCCACCCTTATCTCGAAGCAGATTTCCATCGTTGGATCTGCAGTCGGAACTAAGCGGGAGTCAATTGAGACTTTGGAATTTGCATCGCGAGGAATTGTCAAGGTGCATTTCCGCACGGAGAAGATGGATGCACTTACAAGTGTGTTTGAGGAGATGGAAAGGGGCGGTCTTAAGGGGAGAGTTGTTATTGACTTGTCTTAATCGAGGACTTGAGAGATTTAATTAACCAGGTTTTAAGAAGATGTGGCATATTTCCCTGTTTGTTCTGGTAAGGTGGACCTCAGGAATTAGTCGTTCTCCAACACTCATGTGTATAATCTATGAGTAACGGATGATAGTAGCACTTTTCTTCTACTCTGTATTTAAGTTGCTGGATGTGAGCATGAGCAAATGGTATTTACCACAATTTAATGAAACAGTGCATAGGTCATATAGGACCAGAAAGAAAGCAATCTTTGTAAACCTAAAAAGCCTTTTGGAACCTGTCCAAAGGTGCCAGGAAATCTAACTGACAGAGCCAGTGACAGATAACCACATTTCAATTACTAGTCAGGGATACAGTCTCAATAAACACAGTGAATCTAAAACTGCAGGTTTCAAGAAGGGGCATATTAGGTGATTGGCAGCACGCAAAAACTATCATGTAACTATGGAACCTGTGAACTCAAAAACAATACTGAGGTTTGAGGAGGGAAATGATTAAAATAAATAGGGGTAACAACAAAAGAATAAAGAATTAAAATATCTTAGGTAGGTGAGACCAGCTTCACAGTACACAAATATCAGCAGAAACACAGGAGAGAATTTTGAAGGAAAAAGCAAATGAATTGTTTCCATGCCTCCTCTTCCCACTCACTTAAAGTATAACTTGATGATACCATTCTTAACCTGTTCCCCGGAGTAATGAAATTGTGCTTCCCACCAGTATGCAATCCCCATTTACAACAGGAACAGGAGAGGAGTGAAGTGACTTGATGAGGAAAATAGCTGGCTTGTTGTAAGTGAGTGAATGATGAAAAGAACCAAACCCAGAATGACAAATAAGGGATTGCCTTCTACAAAGCCCTTTTATCAAAGAAAGGGGAAGAAAGAGAAAAGAAAAGAAAAGAAAAGAAAATGAATATTTCTCCCTGCAAAATGTGTAAAACATTCATTCACTTGAATAAAAGAAAGATCATTGTCAACATTACAGCAGATGAAATTCAAGGAATCTGATATATATATATAAAAAAAAAAAAAAAAAAAAAAAAAAAAAAAAGAACACCCCATCTGAACCTGTTCAGTCAAGGATCTACCTTTGGCAGTTAATTTTGGATGGTCAGAAATAGCCCTACTTGAGCAAATGATTTCTCTTGAGAAGCGAGTTAACTGGGTGAACAGTTAAATGATGGAAATTGTGTTAAATAGCAGCTTGATTAGTTAACGTAGTCCGACACCTAACCGATCACGACACCTAACCGATCAAATTTTCATCCTTATTTGACAATTTTTTAAATTGAGCAACAACCACGAGAGATTTTATATAGAAATTATATAGATTAGATCCTTAGGTCTGTTGGCACTGCCTAATAGTGTGTCCGGGTGTATTACACTTGCTGCAGGTGGGAGGTCTTCGCTTTCTACCTTCCGGATTTGGATCCTCCATCCAAACCTCCGTACGTTCAGGAGGCTCCAGAGGCTTAGCCATCCTAGCTAGAGCTTCTTGAGCCGTAAGGATTCCTTCCTTAGCTATATAGAAACGTGATTTCTCTCTCTTACGCTTCTGCTTAGCATTGGCAGCTCTCAGCTCCATGACTTCCTTGGTCAGTAAAGCAACATTATGCATGGCCGTATGACATCCCTTCACTAGTTGATCAAGAGCCTGATTTGTAGGACTAGAGAGAATTTCCGTACGGCGTTTGATTCTGCTGCTCTGCCGCTCCAACTGAGTCACATTGCGAGGGGTCTTGGGGGTCCAGGAGGATTGAGATCCGTGAGATCCGTGAGCTGACCCCGGGGGGGTAGGAGTATGAAATTGAGTATGTAGGCGAGTAAGAACCTCATCTGGATTGTATGGCACTAGGCCTGTGGCTTTGAATCCGTTCTTTATAGTTATATCCTTCATAGCCTCCTGTCTAGCTGTTGTATAGCTGGCTAGAAAGTCCTCCTTGTCAATATAACTGATTCCTAGTCTCACGCTTTGTTCCACCCTCTTGCCGTACGCTCTCTTTAATGGTGAAAAGCAGCTCACATCTAGTGGCTGTAATAAATGAGAGGAGTGTGGAGGCATATATAATGATATAATGCCGTGATCCAGACAGAATTTATCAAATCTGGCCGTGGCATGACTGCCATGCCCATCCAACACAAGCAGTCTATATCTGCCCTTCGTACAAGCTTTAGTAGCTCCGTTAAAGACCTTCCGCAGCCAATCAAGGCTAAGAGCGTCCGTGGTCCATCCCTTCTCACTAACGCCAATTGTCCAATCCTTTGGCAGCTGCTTGTACCAGGAGGCTTGATGAAGCTTGCCCTTAAAGATAATCATAGGAGGTAGAGCCCAGCCCGTAGCGTTAACTGCCTCGATCACAGTTGCCCATTCTCTATTCCCTGGCTGTAAAAGAGATGGCCTGCCAGCTCTCTCAGCTCTAGTAACCACCCAGGATGTTGAAATAACCCCCATTGTAAAGCCAATCTCATCAAAGTTATAGATATCCTCTGAAGTAATTCCATACTTCTTTATCGTACGATCCATCAGGGTAAACCATTCGTATATGATCTTTGAATCCTCGCATTGAGCTCGCTGATAGTCGTACTTGCGTGAGAACTTCGTCTTTAGTTCAGAATGCCGTTGTATAAATCTTTCTACCCATCTTCCTCCCACGGTAGTTGTAGTAGTGGATTCTCGCGCCTCAAGTAGTAGATTAGCCATTTCTCGTACGGTCGCGATCCGGGGAGGCTGTCCTCTCTCATCCATAGAGAGTATCCATTGAACTAGAGATTCCTCTTCAGTAGAGGTCAGCTTTCGATTTTTTAGTTGAGCATTCGTGTACGTGGTTCCACCGCGTAGTCTATCGTAAAGCGTAGTATAAGGAAGCTCGTACGTCTTAGCAGCAACGCGAATAGATGAAATTTGCTTAGTTTCATAATCTTTAATAGCTAATAAGAGCCTGGCTTCTTGATTAGAAGGTTCTTTGCTAGGTGTGGCTGTCATATTGAATGATTTAATAGAGTGGGTGATTGGGACGAAAATTTGATCGGTTAGGTGTCGTGATCGGTTAGGTGTCGGACTACGTTAACTAGTTAACTATGTCTAATAACTAACACAGAAGGATGGATATCAAAAAACAAAACCCATGAATACAAAGATCAGACCGGTTGTACTTAGTCCTTGCGAACATTGGAACTTGACATCTCCTAATTAAGAGTTAATAAAAGTCCTCAGGTTCTCATCGTCGCCTCGCCTCCACTCAGGTTCGGCATCTCTTGCATCTCTGCTATTTGGATCAGCTGGCAGCAGGCTGAGCACTTGTGTTGCAGCTTAATTAGTTAGCTAGTTAACTACCTGCTAGTTAACTAACACCTGGTAACTAGTTAACTAATTGGCGCGCTCTGTTTCTGGCGAGAAAGCCCTCCCCTTTCCGCCCTGCCACCCGAGTCCGAACTCCGTCCGCTAACTAGTCTAAGAAACAAATTAACAATGCCTAAATAGGCAATATTTCATCTCATCTTAGAGCGGTTCATACGGAATACTCCTGTGGTCTGTTGCTTTCCGTTCCCAGTTAACCTGATGCTCACTTATTCCCTTAGTTAAGTTAGGTGGGTAGTTGGCTGGATGTGTTCTGACTTGATCCTCAACCTCTCACCGTCACAGCAAGTCTCCAAATAGGCTCCTGTGCCACCGCATTTCTGGATGCCCATTCCGTGCCTGAAGGAAGGGCGCTCGGAGGTCGCAAACAAGAATAGAATCTTGGTTACCACGGGTTCGTTCCATGGTACTGCTCTGCGGTTACAGCCGTCAGCGGTCCCTTGGATCCTCTCAACTAATTTCAGTAGGCTCTAGTCTGTCTGCCTAAGCTAAATCTCCTCGTCTCCAGAAATGTATGGCTCTAAGTCACCCCATATTCCGCCTTTCTATTCTCCCATCTCTGTGGTCCCACCGCAACCCGAGTGGCAGCAGCCTCCAGCCCAGCAGGCGCATGGTCCACAATGGCCTTCGGACCATGTTCCTCCTCTTCCGCCTCCCCCTCCCCCGCCGCTTCCGGCAGTGTCGCAACCGGGCGCATCTTCGTATCATCCGGGAACATATGGCCCCATGCCAGGAGCTTCGCCATCGCTTGATCAAGGTGCCCACACAGGATTCCCTCCGATGGGAGATACATCAGCCTGGGGCGTTCGCTTTAACCAACGCCAGAGCTACCAGCACCCTCAGTCAAACCCTCATGGAGGGCAATGCGCCGCTCCCCCCCTGCCGGTACGTCTAGTAAGCCAATTTAAAAGAAAGAGGAAGAATGGGAGATCGAAAGAAAAACAAAAAAAAAATATATTATTATTATTAATAATTCAAATACTGATCGGTAACTTTAAGCCTCGCCCATCAAGTGCGATTGATCACTCGCAATCGCAATCCCCCGCGCACCCTGCTCCATGGCTCACCCCCACAACTCCTCCGCCCCAGCCAGGTCAACAGTTTTACTCGCAAAACCAAATAATGAGTATGACCGATGCTCACCCTTATTTCCCTCAGCAGCAGCAGCAGCAACAGCCCTGGCAAGTCTTTCAGGATCCCAACTTCCCAAGCAACTCACAAAATCCCCCTCCCCCACCCCCTATACCTACAGCATACCAAGTAGAACAACAGCAAAACCCTCAAAGCTGGGTGTCTCAACCAACTTATTCCGATCAGCCGTCCACACACCATTATGACCTTCCGCAACAGCAACTCCAGAATGAGACAGCGACGGGCCCTCCTGTGTTGGCTCAGTATGGTATTACAGGGGACGGAATGCACTGCCGGCCCCAGAGTTCTCCACCAGCAAATTCACCACCTACTTCATTTTCAGTTATCCCCCAATCGCCCCCTGTTGCGCCAACGGCCTCAGCACTAGGAATTGGTGGCCCATCTGATTGGGAACACTTTTCTGGCCCACAAGAAGAGATTGACGACACCGAAGCCTTTAATTTCAAGACTGAAATGCCTCCCAAAAGTGCCAATACTTTTGAGC